GAGCACAACTCCTGGCACCCCGACGACCGGTGCTGGGGTGGATGTTCAAAGCAAAGGTTCCCCCCACCCACCATGCCATCAATGCCACATGGAGCAAGTGGATTGCCCTTATCACGCAGCGTGCCCGGATTGGGAAACTGAATCGCCCTGGGATTTTGGAGATAATTCCAAACTGGCCTGAAGGTGAAAACTTTGGTCTTGCTGATGAAGAGGAAGAAGTGAAACATGCTGAAGAAGCACCACCATATAACCAACTGCCAGCAGAAGAAACACATTACGCTCTTTTCACTGATGGTTCTTGCCGCATTGTGGGAAATGGAAAGCAGCCGTATGGAGTCCCACACGACAGGTTGCAGAAGCTACAGAAGGGGAGGGTGGATCAAGTCAACTCGCTGAACTCAAAGCCGTTCAGCTGGCCCTGGACATTGCTGAAAAAGAGAAGTGGCCAAAGCTCTACCTCTACACTGATTCATGGATGGCAGCCAATGCTCTGTGGGGGTGGCTGGAGAGGTGGAAAAAAGCTAATTGGCAGCATAGAGGAAAACCAATTTTGGCTGCTGATGAGTGGAAAGACATTGCTACCAGGGTAGAGAAGCTACCTGTGAAAGTTCACCATGTAGATGCCCATGTTCCCAAGAGCAGAGCCAATAAGGAGCACCAAAAAAACCAGCAGGTAGATCAGGCTGCAAAGATAGGGGTGTCAAAGATAGACTTGAATTGGCAACACAAGGGGGAATTGTTCTTAGCACGATGGGCCCATGATGCCTCAGGCCATCAGGGTAGAGATGCCACTTTTAAGTGGGCACGAGACTGAGGGGTGGATTTAACCATGGACAGTATTTCTCAGGTTATCCATGACTGTGAGACGTGTGCTATCATCAAACAGGCCAAGTGGGTGAAGCCCCTGTGGTATGGTGGGCGGTGGTCCAAGTACAGTTATGGGGGGGCCTGGCAGATTGACTATATCACACTGCCCCACACACGCCACGGCAAGCGTTATGTGCTCAGCATGGTAGAAGCCACCACTGGATGGTTGGAAACCTATCTCGTGCCTCATGCTACGGCTCGTAACACCATTCTGGGCCTTGAGAAGCAGATCCTTTGGAGGCATGGTACCCCTGAGAGGACTGAGTCAGACAATGGGACTCATTTCAAGAATAGTCTTATCAACACCTGGGCTAAGGAACATGGCATTGAGTGGGTGTACCATATTCCCTACCATGCACCAGCTGCAGACAAAGTGGAGAGGTACAATGGACTGTTAAAAACCACCTTGAAAGCATTGGGTGGGGGATCTTTCAAGAATTGGGAGCAGAATCTGGCAAAAGCCACCTGGTTTGTTAACACCCGAAGTTCTACGAGTCGATTGGGCCCTGCCCAAACTCAGCTTTTGCATATAGTAGATGGAGACAAAGTTCCAGTAGTGCATGTCAGAGGTTTGTTAGGGAAGACAGTGTGGATCAATTCTGCCTCAAGTACAGACAAACCCATTCATGGGATTGTCTTTGCACAGGGACCAGGTTGTACATGGTGGATAATGCAGAGAGATGGAGCAACACGATGTGTACCTCAGGGAGATCTGATTGTTGGGTGAGAACTATGTGTAAATATCACTGTTTTCTGAATATTACTGCCATTGTCTGTGTATAGCTGTATATTGGATGTATAATGAATGTATTTGTAGGGTTTGAATATATATATTAGTTTTAGTAGTAAGCTGACGATATGGGGATAAGGGGTGGACTGTCCTAGGTTGACTGTATGATGCCTTTATCCCCAATCGTCTTCCCTGTTTATGTTAAATAATAAGTTCTACACATTTATGACTTGTTCCAGTAGTGAAGGGGGTGGTGGGGGGGGGGGGGGGGAAGAAGCGCGGAGTTTGTTTTCAAAGACTACACTCCCTCCTCCACATTCCTGCTCCTGGACTGTGTTGTCTGCACACAGACAGACAGCGAGACAGAGCTCTCCTTTGCTTTTTTCTAGTTAGTTTTAGCTAGCTGAGGCAAAGAAGTTCCCTGGACTGTGGTTTTTTTCCCTTTCTTTGGACCTGCTCTGGACTGAACACCAGAAGAGCAGCAGCAGATCGCACCTTTGGCCCAGCAGGCCGGGCCTGGGCTGTGGCATTTCCAGCGCCGGAGGGACTGATCAGAGACTGAGTGAGCTGAGCTGCAACTCGGGGGATTTTCCTGAGTTTGTCTCTCTCTTGGAGTGGCGAGAAGTTTTATTGTTTAATATTGTTTAAGTTTGCTTGTTTAATAAACAGGTTTTTTCCACTTTTCTCCAAAGAGGTATCTTTCCCGAACTGGTTTGGAGGACAGGCCAATTGAGTCTGCTTTCCTAAAGGAACCCTTTTGGGTTTCTCTCCCCAAATTTTCCCTGTACCAGGACAGATAGCCAGAGCCAGGATATTGGGATAGCCAGAGCCAGGATATTGGGACAGCCAGAGCTGGGACATTGTGATAGCCAGAGCTGGGATATTGGGATAGCCAGACCCAGCTCAAGGACAGGAACCAGCCCATGCCTGACAGTGACCTGGAGATGGGGCTAGTGTAACCAGAGCTTGGGGAGGCTGGGGGGAATCAGAGGCTGGGCTGGGATCTGTGGGAATGGAGGACTCTGAAGGGCTGGGATGGGATCTCTGGGGATGGGGAAGGATCTGTGGGGCTGGAATAGGTATCCAGGGAGCTCCAAGGGGCTCCCTGGGGCTGGGACACGACTCCATGGGTCTGCTTTCTTCTCATTCCCAGGTCTCCACACGCTGCAGGTGGTTTCCAACTGTGACCTCCTGTCCAATGGAATGTCCATTGATCCCACCAGTATGGCTACGAATGGTGGGATTTCATCTCCTTCCAGCTGAGACCCTGGAGCTTTGCAGTGTCTGACAGTGCCACCTGGATCACCCAGAGGTGCTGGGAATCCAAAGGGACCATGGTGGAGCAGATGAAGCATTACCTGGACACACCTGTGTGGAAGAGCTCCCAAAATACATCAGATAAGGTCGGGAGGCTCTGGAGCACAAAGGTGGGTGTGGGAGGAGGAGGGGAGTTCCTATGGGAGTGTGGGATTTCAGTAATGGGAAACTTGGAAATGCAGATATTGCCATTGAATTTCCATGGCTGGATCTCAGTCAGGTGAGAATTCCATGGATGGATCTCCCCCCAACCCATTGCAATAGGAATTCCATAGGGAAATTATTTGAATTGATGACCAATCCAATGAGAGCAGTGAAATGAGACGTAATCCTTGCTGGGATTCCATGGGACATAGATCCAAATCCTTTACCCAGGCCTCTGCTGTGCCCGTGGCAGCACCAGGGGAGTGCTCTGTCCCTGCCCTGAGCCGAGCATGAGCCTCTCCTTGGGTGTTCTGTGCCCTGCCCAGGGCAGGAGGGCACTGCCGGAGCGGCTTTGGTGGCCCCAGGCACCTGACCGGGCTCCAGCCTGTCACACTACGACACGAAATAACACACATAGACACCAGATGCAAAAGAGGGAAGAAAAGAACCAAAAGAGAAATTTTACTTTCTGACTACGTAATATATACAATCCCAGAGGCGACAGTGGATTGGAGGGTGAAATTGCCACCTCTCCAACCACACTGGTCAAACCAACAGTCCATCAATTCTCTCCACCCACAAAGAAGAATGCAAAACAATCATTATTTACATGAACAGTGTGAGAAAATTCAGTAGAAATATGTAAACATCAGAAGGCATAGAAAACTTTTAGAAGAACTTTAAAACTCTCAAAAGAACAAGGCAACACCAGCCACTGCAGGTGGTTTCTTGGGAATGTTCCAGGAAAAAGCTTAAAGCAAACAACAGTTTCTGGAGGGGATTATCCCCCTTGGCCTGTGCTGGGAGCCCAAGGGCAACAGGGGCCCAGGGACCTCAGTGTCCCTTGGCCCGGCCATGCTCCCTGGCTGTGCCCTGTCCCTCAGCTGTCCCCTGTCCCTGTCCCTTGTGCCCTGTCCCCTGTGCCTTGGCTGTCCCCTGTCCCTGTCCCCTGTCTTTCAGCTCTGTGGGGTCAGACGTGCCAGCAGGACCTGGGGCAGCCCTGGGGGCAAACAATCCTGAGCCCCAGCGGGGCCAGTTGCCCCAGTTCCCCCCAGGGATGCCCAGGTCACTCCCAGTATGGACCCTGTGGTTCCCAGTCACACCCAGTATGTTCCCAGTCACTTTCAGTTACATTCAGTACAATCCCAGCATAATCCTAGTCACTCCCAGTATGATCCCAGCATGGTTCCCCAAGCACACTTGGAGTCGCTCCCAGTCTGGTTCCAGTCACTACCCGTATGGTCTTAGACACTCCCAGTATATCCCAGTTGCCCTGAACATTCTCATAGTCATTGCCAGGCACTCCCAGTTACCTCAGCATGGTTCACTTGAGCTCAGTTTTATCCCAGTTGCTCCCAGTTCCTCTAATTATGTCCTCACTTGGCTCCCAGCATGTGCCTGGTAGCTCCCAGTAACCCCCAGTCAGGGTCCAATCACACCCACTCTAATCCCAGTATGATTGTAGCCACTCTCAGTATGATCCCAGTCACTCCCAGTCTGATGCCAGTGCCCCCAGAATAGAGAACAAATTTTCTCTGAGATATTTGTGGCCAAGAGAAGAGCTGAACTGTAAACCTGTATAACTTTAAAAAGAAGTATTATCAGCTATGAATGACTTCAAAAGTATCTTTGACATAAGAAGCTTTATAAAGTGGAGAAAATGAAAGATATCCAGAGTTTCAGTCTTCTTTTAATTGAATTCAAATTATTAAAATGCCATACAAGTCAGTTCTACCCAAATTTGCAATATTCAGGGTAGTAACATACAACTGTTTCTGGAAAAGGTGTTCTATTCTTATTTGGTTGACATGGGAGTGCAACAAGATTATCCCCTTCATTAAGGGACCTGGAAGTGGAAAGAACCAATTGGTGGTATCTTTGTGATGCAAGTAAACGGCCTGATAGAAACCCAAGATTAAAAGGGAAGTGTCCCTGTAAATTGTTAAGAATTTAACACTGCTTTTCTGGCTTCTTCACAAAGTGAATCTAACTTGCCATCACCTCCTAAAGGAGAAAAATACAACTTACAAAATATATGCAAGTAAATGTATTTACCTTTTACATTTCTACTTCTTACCCCAACACATATAGCCCTTTGTGCTCTCCCTCACAGTACTTGGACCATTTGGCTCTGCTGTGGTTAATTCTGTAATCTGAGATGGATTCATCTCAAGCAAAAAATAAAAATTGCTATTTTGAAAGCAGAGGGAAGCCCTAATACCTCTGTGGACCAAAGCCTAGCAGGTTTTCTTGTGGTTGTGTGCTGGTACATGTGGGATGGTCCTAGACAGTGCTCTCCCAAGCATGGCCTTAACTCCCAAGCCATTCTCTGTTCCTGACTGTGTCTTCAAACTGCCTTGAATATAAAGCAGTACAGAGCTTAAAAGAGTAAATGTTGCTAGAACCTGGACTGTTTATTGTTACCCTGATTTTTTAAAGTGCTAAGTTTTCTTTTGTAGTTCTTTTGAAAGTTTAAAGTTCTCATAAACTTCTTTAGCCTTCTGATAATGTTTACATATTTGAGAGTCAGAGTTCCCATACAATTTCATGCATAAATAGAATAGTTTACATATTTCTCTGTGGGTAGAGAGAAATGATTGATCGATCTTTGGACCAGTGTGGTTGAAAGGGTGGTAATTCCATCCTCCAATCCACAGTCACCTTTGGAATTGTATAAATACCAGATGTTTAAATAAAACTGGGTCTTTTTCTCTTTTGAACTTACCAAGCTTCTGTGAACTCATTTCATGTCCAATAGTGACAGTTTATGCCTTAGGAAGTGCTCATTTCAAAATGCAAGTGCTTTTGGAGAAACTGCAAATAACAAAATTCAGGAGTTTTCAAAATCCAGGTCATAGACATTGCAATGAAATGCCATCTCCCTGTTGACCACCTGGTCTACAGCATTCCAGTGTGTTACCATTTCCAGAATAAGGTAATGCCCATCTGCCTTCAGGCCAGCTGGAAAAGGGCAAAGAAGCAGCGGCCAGTACTGTATTTGCTTGGTTCCCAGTGAATTTGGAGTATATCTAAGTTTTAGCACTTATGAGGATGAGAAAAACCCAGTGTTAATGTAGCACAGTACAAGAAACCAAGACAAAGGAATAGAGAGGGGTCACTTGTTTGAGTTACAAGGAAGTTTTATTTCCCCAGAGGATTCAGGGACAAATGATGAAAATTGGGGGCAAAAACCTGCATTTAAGGAGAGGAAGGAATAAGGGAAGGACACAACCCTTTACCAATAGGAAGGCATTAGGGGAGGAGTGCAGGGTAAGGGCTATCCAATAGAAGCCACCAAGGGGAAGGAGCAAGCCCTGCACCCCAATCTTGCTTCAAGGAAAGGATGAAGGACAGGGAACATTCCAGAAGGAAACAAAGGAAGTACAAGGAGACTGACAGACACTTGGCAGGAAAATCTTGGGGTAAACAACTCAGGACTGAACCATTAGGGAAGCCAAATGAGGTACATGGAACGAAACATTACAAACTTATAACAAGGAATATTTAAAACTTACTACAGAAGAACAAACTGCAAAACAACAGACTGCCACATCTCCTCCTTTTTTGTTCTATAATGTTGAAAAAGAAGAAAGGGAGGGGTTGAAACTTAGTCTTTAAACTCAGTCTCTTAGACTTTGGTGCTTTTAGGTGCATTTTCTTCCCATCATTCTTGTTCTGTAGTGGTTGCTGCCACTACGACCCTGGAAGAATATGATCCGTTAGTAGCATTCGAGATAACTCTCTTTAAAATTCCAAACACCAAAGAGACTAAAAATGTTACAACTATAAAATAACCTATATCTTTTATAACAGAAAGCATCCAACCCTACAACCCCCAGTTCTTACTCTCATGCTTGGTCAGGTGGATTACTAGAACAAAGGAAAAAATAACTTAAAGTTAAACATGACACACATCAGGGGTTTCAAAAAGAAGTTAGGGCTCCTCTTTCCTTGCAGTGCTTTCGATTTGAGGCAACTGGGCCATTTGTAGAGCTGTTTAGAGGGTTTGGATGGGTAGTAGTTGGTTGGTCTTTTCTGTTAGCTGGAATATACGGCTTGACCCATGAAACGCAAAGGAAAAATCAAAACCCCACACTTCCAATAAAGATTTGTAGGGAACTGGATGCATGTGGGGAATCATTCCCCTTTAAAGGACATGCGCACCCCTGAGGACTCTCGATCCTTTTTTATTACCTTTAACTAATTTACATATGCATGGAATTTTACAATAGGTTTATGCATAGTCATTCTGCTGATTTCGTGTTACACCTACAGCTAGTTACACTTCTACTCAGTTTTTGTCAGGAAATACAGGAAGGACTTCTGGGTCACTCTTCCCTGGTTCATGATCTGAGGAGTCTTTCTTATCTCTTCAGCTAGGGCAGTTTTATTAGTGTTGTAAAGTTACCAGACTAAACAGCATATTTTACCTATCCTAGTAAGCTTCTAATAATTCAAAGCAGCACATTTCACCTAAATCTAAATGGATTTCTACCCTGTTACATTTTCACTCTGTTTCACCCACTTCAGGGGGATCCATCTCACTCCAGAAGGTGTGGACACACACGCATACCCCCGTCCCCAGGTTACCAATTGAAAGGGTCCTTGTATTTCCCTCGATTCTGGGTCTCTGACCAGAACCGGTGGTTTTTCTTCCAACGGAAGCTGGTGGTGTTGATGAAAATGCTTCAGGACAGGTGGATTCAGGTCCTCTAAGGAACAATTGAGAAAGTCGATCGTAAACAGTGCTTTATATAACCTTTGCTGTGGTACAGCAATCTAGATGTCTCCTCTTTGGCAGTTGAGGACCTTTTTAAGAGTCTGATGAGTCCTTTCTATCACTGCCTGGCCAGTGGGGGAGTGCGGTATCCCTGTCCAGTGTTGGACCCCCTATTCTTGTAAAAATTCACTGAACGCCTTGGAAGTATAGGCTGGGCCGCTGTCAGTCTTGATGGTATTGGGGACCCCTAAAGTCGCAAAAGCCTGCACCAGATGTCTTTGTGCATCTGCGGCTTTTTCCCCCGTGTGGGCTGAGGTAAAGACTGCTCCCGAGAGGGTGTCAACTGAGACATGTACGTATTCTAACCTCCCAAACTCTGTTAAATGAGTGATGTCCGTCTGACACACCTCACAACTGTGAAGTCCTCTTGGGTTCACTCCTGAATCCAATGATGGTAAGGAGTACTCCTGACAGTTTGGGCATGTGGCCACAGTAGCCTTGGCCTGAGCACACCTTAGATGGAATTGACGGATCAGACCAGGAACGTTCTGGTGGAATTGCTGATGGCTGAGTTTGGCCTGCTGCAAGATGGGTTGGCCAACCAGCTGTAATGGAGCAGCTAGGGCATCTGCTTAGCTGTTCCCCTCAGCGAGGAATCCAGGGAGGTCAGTGTGTGACCTCACATGCATCACAAAAAAGAGTTGCTCCCAATGGGAAACTAGGTATACAAGCTTCGAGAGCAAGACAAAAATAACTGGGATGGAGACCTCCTTTAAAATGGCATGTTCTGCTCTGGACACTACTCCAGCTACATAAGCCGAATTGGTAACAATATTAATTGGTTCTGGGAATTTCTCGAAGGCCCTGATGACTGCATCTGACTTAGCAACTTAAGGAGAGCCTTCTATGACCTTAATGTCAGCTACACACTGCTGACTTTGAGGATCTTTCCAAGTCATAACAGACTTGTGGGACCCTCTAGACGCGTCAGTAAAAAGGGTCAAGCCGTTCAATGGACGTCAACTTTGGATATCTTTTGGGATCAAATTGAAGCCTGTGCTAAACAATTTGTGGCCTGGATGATGTATGGAAATTTGACCTGGATAGCTATCCAGAGTGAACTGTAAACTCTCATTCTCATGGAACAACTGATCCAGGCTCCCCTTGGTTAGTCTCGCTGTCGATGCTTTGATGGGGACATGGATGCATGTGCAATCACACCCCGTCAACAGTCGCATTGGAGCCCTAGCCTTAGTAACCAGCTGGGCCATCAGCTCTTGTGGCCGTGTGATACTTTTGGACAGCTGATGACTGAGGAAAACTCACTCTATAATCACGAGAGGGTCCTTCTGGTTTCTGTCCCATTGAAAAATGAGCCTGTGAAGGTGCGGCAGGTTACCTAAGATAATAAAGATAATAAAGTTGAAGGGAAGGCCCATCCAGCAGCGATGGGTCTGCTGGCCTGCCAGCGTTGACTGTACTTTCTCAAGAGCCTGCTTTGCCTCCTGAGTCAAGGCCTTTGGAGAATCTAAGTTGAAGAGGGGAGATAGATCCCCCGTGGTGAGCCCCAGCCAGGGCCTGACCCAGTTCAATGACCCACACAGCTGTTGGAGGTCTCGTAAAGTCTTCGGATTGTCATTGATAAGGACTCTCTGTGGTGTAATGGTCCTGTGTTGCAGCATTTTTGAGAGAAAGAGGACATGAGTTATGAGATTTGAGCTACTCCAGTCTAGGCCTCAGATTTGGGCCTTGTGAGGCCTTCAAGCCTCTGACGCAGTTAGAAATTAAGAGCTTGTGGCGCAGATAAAAATAGTATTAAGGTGTGATGGGGACCACTGGGCTATCTGGGTGTGAATTAGTATAGGCTTTATAGTGTAAGGTTTAGGCCACCTTAAGGAAGAGGTAAACAATGTTAGCTTGCCAATCAGAGTGCGTTTGTTTTTGTAAAATATGTAGAAGCTTATATAAACTACCATCTTATCTTGAATAAACGAAGAACGCTTGATTAACCACATTGGTTCAGATCTGTATTTGTCTTGTCCAGTTTCCCGTTTTCTGAGATTCCCTGGCTTTTGTCCTGTTTGGGATCTCGAGGCCCAGATACTTCCAAGGCACCAGTTTCTGTACTTTGTCCTTTTGCAGCTCAAATCCAGCCGTCAACAAGGCAGTGACAGTGTCCTCAAGCGCTGCTAGCCAGCCACAAGGAAAGAACAGAGCCGAGCCCAGAGTCGGCCCTGGGTGTGCAACAAGGAGTCAGCCTCAGCAGAGGTTTTCCTCCATGCCCACACACCTCCATCCTGGCACAAGCAGTTTTTATAGGGAAAATTCAGCCTGAGGCCAAGATTTCAGCAATCAGTCTTTTCTTCTATTCAGAGTCCGTATGTTAATAAGATTTTCTTTTTTGGTGATGAGGGAGAACAAATCAGTGTCTGGAGTTTGTTGAATCCAGTGATGAAATTTACGGGAATTCGGGAACGCTGTATTCACATGTATCTGTCCGGGGATTTCCATGATATCCATCTCGGGTCGTTCACGTGATGATCAGCGCCTGGGGTCTCCCGCAACTTCCCAGACATGGCCCATCTCCTGGCGAGCCGTATCTTCTTACTTGTAAATTAGTTTCCAACATACACCCGGTCTCGGAGGGGAGAAGGGGGGGGAGGCTAGTACAAACGAGGTATAATCTAACAAGTATTTAACATTATATATTCCATACAAGGAATGGCGCAAATTATGTTTATTACCCATAACAAAACTCCCAAAAGTTAATGGGGAGTCGTCCAGCAGCTTACCGGCCTTTTGAAAGGATCCAGGTAGATTTCACTGATCTACCCAAGGTCGGGAGACACAAATTCTTATTAGTCATAGTGGACAAGCTAACCCACTGGGTAGAAGTTTTCTCAAGCTCCCGGGCTACAGCCCAAACAGTATCAAAAACTTTATTAGAAGAAATTATACCGCGCTATGGGTTAGTAAGCTACATTGATTCGGACCAGGGCACACATTTCACATCAAAGATCATCAAGCTATTGGCAGATGCTTTAGGCATTCGATAGGAATACCACACCCCGTGGCACACTCAAAGTTCAGAACAAATTGAGAGAATGAATCAAACACTGAAGGCCCAATTAACAAAATTAATGTTAGAAACAAAAATGTCATAGATAAAATGCCTCCCGTTAGCCTTATTAAATATAAGAACTATGCCTCATTCCGACGGGACTTTCAACTTTTGAAATGT